ATGTTTCTCTTTTATTAGTGTAGACTAGAGACCTGGTGCACAAAAATTTGTGCACTCGGGAGGGTCTCTCAGCCTGGCCTGTGCCCTCTCATAGTCTGGGACCCCTCAGGGAATGACCACCTGCTGGCTTAGGCCCGCTCCCCGGGGGATTGGGCCTAAGCTGGCAGTCAGACATCCCTCTGGCAGCCCGGCAGCCCTCGGGGGATGTCCACTTGCCAGCGGGGAGCAGGCCTAGCTGTAGTCAGACATCCTTAGCACTGCTGAGGAGGCGGGAGAGGCTCCCACCACCACTGCTGTACTGGCAGCCATCAGCCTGGCTTGTGGCTGAGCAGAGCTCCCCCTGTGGGAGCGCACTGACCACCAGGGGGCAGCTCCTGCATTGAGCATCTGCCCCCTGGTGGTCAGTGTGTGTCATAGTGACCAGTGATTCCCAGTCACTCTGCTGTTAGGGTCAGTTTTTTTTTTAATTTATTTTATTGATTTTTTACAGAGAGGAAGGGAGAGGAATAGAGAGTTAGAAACATCGATGAGAGAGAAACATCGATCAGCTGCCTCCTGCACACCTCCCACTGGGGATGTGCCTGCAACCAAGGTACATGAGGGTGTGGCCATCCTGGTGAGGGGCTGATGGCTGTTTGCAGGCTGGCCACAGCCCCTTCAGGCTAGGGGTCCCCACTGGGGTGCCTGGCCTGCCTGGGTGAGGGGCTGATGGCTGTTTGCAGGCTGGCCCCAGCCCCCAGCCACCCAAGCTCCCAGTGGAGGCTGGCTGGAAGCAGGTATCTGGGATTTATTTAGCTTCTATAATTGAAACTTTGTTGTCTTTTGTGGAGGCCACAGCCAGCCAGGGCAGGCAGGAAGCTTGGCTTCCTCCATCGCTGGGGCAACCAAGCCTCCTGCTTGCTCCAGCTCCGTGGTTGCCGGCCACCATCTTGGTTGGGTTAATTTGCATATAGTCTCTCTGATTGGCTGGTGGGCATGGCTCGGGCATAGTGAAGGTATGGTCAATTAGCATCTTTGTCTTTTATTAGTGTAGATTATGCTTTGACTGAACAGCAAACCATAGACCAGACACTTAGCATATTAGGCTTTTATTATATAAGATTGATTTCAGAGAGGAAAGGGGAGATAGGAACATCAATGATGAGAGAGAATCATTGATCGGCTGCCTCCTGCACACCCCGCACTGGGGATCGAGCCTGCAACCTGGGCATGTGCCCTGACCTGGAATCGAACTGAGACCTCCTGGTTCATAGGCTGATGCTCAACCACTGAACCACATTGGCCGGGCTAAGTGGATGGACTTTTGACGTGTTGGACCAGGGTCATTCCTTGTCCCTCAGGGGCACCTATGGTATGAATCCCAAATCCTGAACCAGCCTTCAGACCTCTGGAGACTACTCTCAAATTCATGGCCATGTGGTCCTTTTGCGGCTTCCTTAGAGGCTCCCACTAATTGTCTTCACCACACCAAGGGGGTGGAGCATCCAACCCAACTCAGCACGTGGGTTTGTTCTTAGTTTCACCCTGTTTTGTCATGTGCAACCCCTTTTCATTAAAAACAAACAAACAAACAACAAACAGCGCACACACCAGGGCACGGAACTCTTCAAATTCATGTCTTTATTATTTTGCTGATCAGCTGCCCGCCTCACTGCACGTCAGACATCGCCCCACCTGTGCCAGGAGTCGTGAATCCCACCCGCAACTCAGAGATCCGGGCCGTTTAGTTAACAAGCATGCAAAACCAAAGGAGCGAAATTAAAAATAAGTGTCCTCCTTCCGGGAAAGAAAAGTATTAGGCTACAGTCAACCACCTTTAGGAAGAAAAAATTCAAATACCAGGTCATGTTTTCTTAAATCTCCTGGTCGAATGTGTCTTTGTTTCATTGATAATCAAAACCAGGTCATCTTTACAGGAGCTGGAATTTTAATACCTCATGGGCCTCCGTTGGTTTAGTTAAGGGTTAAAACACATTCTCATCTCAGTTCCGGTCTGGTCAAGTTTAATTGCTATATGACTTACACACGCCTCCACACCTACATATAGAATTACTCACTAAGGTGTTAAGATGGACAATGGGTAACGTGAAAATTGTAAAACTGAAGTTCTGTGAAATTTATGACAGAAAAATGATGCCCAATAGTTCTTTTCCTATATCTTTACTCTTCCATCTCTTTTCTGAAACTGCGCTACAAATGCTACTTTTCTAGGAAAGGTGATCGTTACAAAGGCCGGGTGCTTTCCTACTCATCCTGTCGTCAGTGATTGCATCGCTCATCGCTCGTGTGGAGACTGAAATACACGTGGCACAAGGAGCACGGGAAGGAGGCGGGACCCGCTCTCTCTCGGGGGCGGGTTCCCTTCGGGGAGGGCTCACTTGAAGGAGGCTCTCACCACCCTGCCCTTGATGGGCTGCGGTGGGCGCCAGTTTCCCACCAGGGGCACCGGGGGCTCGTTCTCCGCGCTGGACAGGAGGCTGCGCAGCTTGGCCATCTGCAGGGCAAAGGAAGGTGGTCAGCTCCACGTCAGACCAAGTGGACACACAATGCGTGCGACAGAGTTAGAAACCCAAGGCTTTTAAACAAGACCAGCAAACACAGCGCCTGCCTCCCGTGCTCAGTCCAGAGCTGGTGGGTGACGAGTTCCTGGTGGAACAGGCCTTTTCCTCACATGGGAAAACTATTTCATGCAGGACCGCATGCCCCCGGTCAGAGCCTCCTCCCCGGGTTCTGAAACAGTTCATTTCATGGAGGAGGGGACAATGTTGGTGCAAAGTGTACCAGTAAGTCGTCTTCACTGGGTACATGTAGGAATCCATTGTTCAAAGAGCACCAGGAACTAACAATCGCGCTACATTTAAAATGCTCAGAACTGATTCTTTCTCTTTAGGGCAGGGGTCCTCAAACTACGGCCCGCGGGCCACATGCAAATACAAATATTGTATTTGTTCCCGTTTTGTTTTTTTACTTCAAAATAAGATATGTGCAGTGTGCATAGGAATTTGTTCATAGTTTTTTTTTAACTATAGTCCAGCCCTCCAACCGTCTGAGAAACAGTGAACTGGCCCCCTGTTTAAAAAGTTTGAGGACCCCTGGTTTAGGGAGATGAATTTAGGAAATTCTTGTCAGTGATGCTATATTTCTATATGAAAATATTTTTAGTTTTTCTCCTTTAAGAAATTCCCTCTTTCAAAATATTTGTACCAGTTAAACCTGATCTGTTGATAGAAACGACCACGTGGACTTGAGCCCACGAGGCAGAGAAGCTGCTGCGTTAGGCACGGGAGACACCGGGAAGCCCACGCTCCTCACACCCCGCCTCCCCGGGCTGCCCACTCCTCTCCCCGAGCCTGGCCTCCAGTCTCCTCCATCACTGCTGCTGCACGTTCCTCAGAAGCAGTAAGGAGGGCGTCAGGGGTGTTGGAGCAGACAGGCCGGAGGTGGAATCTCAGGTCCTGCACTTGGCTGTGTGATCACCAGCTAATCACTTGCCTTGTCTGAGCCTCAGCTTACTGTACGACACCTCACAGGTGACACCCCCTCCCCAGGGTCTGCACCTCCTCCCCAGGCCTGGAGTGAGCCTCCTGCCTCCTACCCTGCACTTGGCCGCCTCCTGTGAACAAAGTGCTGTTCATCGAAACCCATAAGTGTTTCCAGAGCATAAACTCAGTCACCGTCCAGCATCTTAGCCGCCTGGAAATGGTGTGCGTTATCCTGGTACCCGAGGAAGTCACGCTGTGGGAGGTGGGACAGGCTGACTGTGGCTGTACCTGCCGGGCCCACTGTGACCTCACGCTGTGGGAGGTGGGACAGGCTGACTGTGGCTGTACCTGCCGGGCCCACTGTGACCTCACGCTGTGGGAGGTGGGACAGGCTGACTGCACCTGTACCTGCCGGGCCCACTGTGACCTCACGCTGTGGGAGGTGGGACAGGCTGACTGTGGCTGTACCTGCCGGGCCCACTGTGACCTCACGCTGTGGGAGGTGGGACAGGCTGACTGTGGCTGTACCTGCCGGGCCCACTGTGACCTCACGCTGTGGGAGGTGGGACAGGCTGACTGCACCTGTACCTGCCGGGCCCACTGTGACCTCACGCTGTGGGAGGTGGGACAGGCTGACTGTGGCTGTACCTGCCGGGCCCACTGTGACCTCACGCTGTGGGAGGTGGGACAGGCTGACTGTGGCTGTACCTGCCGGGCCCACTGTGACCCCTGGTGCAGGGCAGCTCTCTGAGCTTCCACGGGGCAGCTGCACACTTTCAATTTAGCATCACTTCCACGGAACCAGCCTGCGCTGCGTCCGTGCCGCGCTCACCTGGTCGGAGCTCACGGTGATGGGCTCCTTGAGCAGCAGCCACACGATGCACTCCTCGCAGGGCGGGGTGGTGAAGGAGCCGTGGTAGGTCCAGTAGTCACGGCAGGCGGGGAACAGGCAGGACGGGTCAAAGTTGGTGAAGGGCACCTCCTTGCCCTGCGGGGGGGCGGTGGGCAGGCGAGATGGGCAGGTGAGGGGCAGGTGCACTAAGTGTGCACACCGCTCTCCCCAGGCCCTCACCACTGTGTTTGTCAGAATAAATTCAAGGCTGCAGAGACAACGGAGCTTTTAAACAAAGCACGTGCCTTCAGAAATAAAGGGCAAAGGGCAAAGGGCAGCAGGCCGGTGAGGTCTGACTGGCTCGGGGACAGTCCTGTAACATGTTATTCCTTATCAGCTGTCAGTAGAGCTGTAGTTTTATCACTTCCCAACAAAAGGAGAAACCTCGCTAAACTGCAACAAAAACCATTCACATCAGTTAATCTTTGGGTCTTAATGGTAACAAGAGGCTCAGGTTCTGTTGAACACGGAATGCTTCCTGTGGTGGCAAAGCGCACCCGCACTCGATGGAGCAGCCGCAGACAGTCCCAGCGGGTTCATTAGGGGTTTCCTGTGAGGGTGACCATAGGTGGGTGCTACCAGCAGCCACATATGGCACCTCTGCAAATGTGTGTGTGCGTGTAGCGTGTGTGTAGGTGCTGTGCATTGTGTGTATGCATGTAACATGTGGGTGCACCTGCTGTGTGCACGTGCTGTTTCACGTTGCACATGTGGTGTGTGTTCATGTGCTGTGTTGTGTGTGCATACATGTTGCATTGTGTAAATGTGTATGTACATTTGTTGTGTGTGCATGATGTGTTTGTGTGTGCATGTGGTGTGTGTTGTATATGTGTACGCATATGGGGGGGTGCCTGTGGTGTGTGTGCATATGGTGTATGCATGTGGTTGTATGTATGTAGTGTGTGCATATGGTATAAGTGTGTGTGTGCATGTTATGTGTGTATATGGTGTGTGTATGTGGTGTGTGCATGTGTTGGGGGTGGCCATAGCTCATTCACTCATTGAGAAAGCAGTTATGTAACAAACTGACAGTGAGCATTACATAAGCTAATGCATGTGAAAGGGCTTTAAAGCTGTAAACATACGGGTATAATGGTATTTATCTGCATATGTGCTTAGCATACTCATCAAACTTGGCAACAGAATTCAGGTGAAAGAAATACACTTGAAATGTAGAAAGAGAAAGCTGACAGATCTCGTTCTCTGTTCTCGGAGGGAAAAGGAGGATTTTTTACCTTTGTCTTCACTTTGTCCAGCGCATCGAGAATCAGCTGGAACTCGCCTTTCTCACGTCCTATCTGTAAGAAAATAGAAAACCAATAATTACACTTTTCCCTTCTCCATAATGTAGGACTGTCTTAAAAACCAGTTTTGACCCATCCATCTGCAACCAGTACTCATAACTCTGCCAGGAATTCTTGCACTGAGCAAACCATAAACTTCTTTCTCCCCCACAAATTTCAGAGCTTGCATTTTCTGAACTAAACTTGGACTCCAGGCTTCTGAAGGACAGAACCACAAAATTGCATGTTGATCTGCTTCTGTGTCCTCGACCTTCTTTGCAAAGTCGTTCCATGTTTTTCTTTTTTTAAGATAGAATTAGAACCAGAATGGACTCGGTGTACCTAAAACTAGACTCCCACTCGTCTTTCCACTCAGACCCACCCCTTCCTGTGGGACATGACCAGTGAAGGAAGAACATAAGATGAATCAGGTCATTCAGAAAGAAAGAAGGCAGGTGTCCACTCCTGGCTTAGAGTCTAGATTATGTTACCACTAAAGTCTTGTGTTAACGACACTAAGGCCTCTTTAAACCGAGGCTGGCTCAACAACACACACATTCTGCGTGCTGTCTCCGCCGAGACCTTGAGCATGTGGCCTGCCTGAGCCTGGGGGATGCGTGGCCAGGCCCAGCATCACAGCGCCCCCAACATCGGCTTTGCTGGTGTGCAGGCCGTGGGATGAGTCGTGGGAAGGGGTAATGGGCCACGCTGCCCTCCCGCCCTCCGCACCACACTCATCTACAGATCCACATCTTGAGGAATATGGCAAAAGGTACACTTTTAAGGGAAAGCAGACATTTTGAGCTGGTCTTAGCAGAAATACCTGCATTCGTTGAATGAATACTGAAATTCGTTCTGCTCCCCGTTAAGCAAAAGGGGAGAGTAAATGGTGCCACCCTGAGCGTGGGTAAGAAAGTCAGCTGGGAAATAAGGCACTTGGCCGTGCGGGTCCTCACCTTCAGGAAGATGCCCACCACGGCGGTGCCATCCGGCTGCTTCAGAGCTTCCCCGAAGGTGTTGTACTTCGGGTTCCAGTGAACCAGATGCAGCTGGAAGCAGAGAGGCTGTGAGCTCATCCCCAGCGCCAGGGAACCGCGTCACATCCCCGCAGGACACCCCGCAGCTCCCGGCCTCAGGCCGCTGAGAGCGCAGAGAAGCTGGTGGGATTCTAACAGTAACAGCCACCATTTGGGTGACATGTCGAATGTTCAAATGTGCATAAAAGGAGGATAAACAGATTTAGGACTTTGTGATAAACAATGAATAAAAATTGAGCTGTGAAGTCAGAGATTTGCTCCCTCCTCTGACTGAGACAGCTCAGTCTGCTAGCACCTGCAGCACAGGGAACTGGGAAGCAGGGGGGGGGGGGGGGCAAGCAGGGATGTGAAGGTCTTCCATCAGCCTCCTGTTCGCAGTCGGGTACCTCATCCTAACTTAGAACAGAGGCACCAGGTAAATTAGTCCAAGGCCCATATTGAGCCACGTAGAATGGCAAGGGAACACAATATTCCTAGCCGTTCACACAATATCAAACGTGAGAGGTGCCCCCATGCACAGAGGTCAGGCTGCAAGCCCCTGTGTTTGTGAGGCGCACACTTAACTGGGGGAGATGTCTAGAGGCATTGGCAGTAGGAGTGTCTCACACCCGGGCTCAGGGGGGCTGTGGGCGGATGGCCACGCGAGGGCCTGTGGGTCTCCCAGAATTAGTTCACCCAACAGCCAGCTGCCTGAGAGTGTCCCCGGCGCCCTCGCTTCCTGCGCTGCCCCAGCTGCCGGAAGGGGGAGGGCGGGAAGACGCTCGCCTCTGGGCACCAGCCACCTTCGCCTCCAACACTCTTGTCTTCATGGAGAGAACGTGCAGGAGGCTTGTCTTATTCCTTGTAATTCGGGGCCTTGATCTGAGCTACAAATTGTGCTTTTTAAAAATGGACTCACTGAGACAAAGAGTGGTATTTGCTCATATTAAGCGTTGTGTGTGTGAATGTATGTGCACATGCAATCACACACGTATGCACAGCCTTCACGAGGAGACAGGGACTGGGTGCTGGCGGAACTCCTGAATGCTGTTCTTAAAGCACCTAAAGGGCTCTTTCCACAGGGGCAGCTCAGGGCGCAGGACAAGCTGCGGACGCGCAGCCGGTCTGAGGCAGAGCCCGCACGCCTCCCGGGGGACTTCTGACAGCCTGCTGTGCCTCGGTGTCCCCGCCTGTCCCCTGCCGCGTGGGGCTGCCAGAGGGCTCAGCAGTGCTCACCTGTAAGCATCCCATTGGCCAGGACTTCCTTCTATTCAGCTGCTGTCCAAGTTCTTAAAGTCACCTTGGAACTCTTCCCTCGGGGCGCCCACCCTGCCCCTTAACTGTTAGCCGCTAGCCCAGAAGGTTGGCAGCCTCAGCTTAGGCGAAAGGACCGTAGCTCTTTGCAAAGCTACAGGCTGGGCACAGAGCGGTGGCACGGCTTGGCTGTTTCCCGGGGTGGCGGCTCCTACCTCGGCGGCGTACTGCACCCCGTCCACGGTGTGCTCCGAGCCGTGGTCGTCCGCGGAGCCCCAGTGCAGGTGGAACTGGCGCAGGCGGTAGGGCCCGCTGAGAGGGCCGCCCCTCAGCACTGCGAGGAGAAGCTGGTCAGTGGGGAGCTGGCCCCTCCGAGCCCCACCCGACGCTGCCCTGAGGCCCGGGGGGGGGGGGGGGGCCCGGGCCACAGGGCCCCCTCTTCCAAAAGAGAGTCTTGGCATCTATCAAAGCCAACGCTGTTTCCATCCTGTCTTGTTTGTTGCTCGTTTTATTATTTTTTTAAATGGCAATTTAACATTTATGAGCATAAAAGCAAAGCAACAGGGTGAGCCCTGGGGT